CTTGGGATGTGGCTTAAGTGGTAGCGCGCTCGCCTAGCATGCGTGAGACACTGGGTTCCATCCTCAGCACCACATTAAAAAATAAAGATATTGTGTTCACCTAAAACTAAAAAATAAATATTAAAAAAAAAAAAAAAAAGTTCCAAACTCAAAACTCAACAAAAAAATACTGTCTTTAAACCTTCGGTTTGAAATAAGAAGAAGGTCCTCTTTAAAAATTCTAGTTTATTGTATTAATTTGAATACAGATTATATTAGAAATCTTTATTAGAAAAAGTAGCCCAAGACTGAGAAAGGATTTTTTTTTGTATTTGTATTTTATTAAAAACAAGAACAACAAAAACTTACCTGGAATGCTCTCATTTTCATCATCTAACACATCCATGAATGTTCCTCCATCTTCATCGATTTCAGCAAATTCTTCATCATTCATACTTCCCAAAGAAACTTCATCATCATCCAGGTTATCGAATTCATCATCGCTATCCTCTGAATCTTCATATTCCAAGTTATCCTTAGCTTTTGTTTTTTTCTTCATATTGCTGGAAAAAAATCCCAAACTTATAATGTAATGAGGGTATTGTTTTCTAAAGTGTTTAGGGCCTAATATGGTACAAGGCTACTGAATGACTTAAAAGGAAAATTAAAGACTACTCAGAGTATACTAGCATGTATTACAAATGTCCAAAATAAAAGTACTACACTCACTTCCCAAACTTAGTTGAATACAATTTCCCCATAACATCATATAGATCTAGGTCTGCTGCTGTGGGAGACAACAATTTGGGAAGTATTAGGAAACAGTAAAGAGAAGATTGAAGTAAAGTATTTTACCTGGCAAAATCAAGATCATCCTTTCCAGGGGTGAAACAGTTATCATCTTCAAATGTGTCTGTCAGAGAACAAGATTCAAATTGTGAAACACAGCAAAGAATAACAAGGTTGACATGTCTTATATCTGAATCAATTATAGTAGCAGAAATTATGTTCTGTTGTTTATGACAAGCACCAAAATGACAGAAACATGATTACTATTGGTGTGTCTTAGAATGYATAAGTCTGTTAAAAGCTGATTTTAATGAAGTGTCTATACTAAAACGGGTTCTACTTCTTTTTACAGTTGCTTTATGGAGAAAAAAGTACATTAAATAAAATGACTTGTAGTAACTTCAGTTCTTTTTTACTTTATGAGAACTATTTAGCTGCTTATTTTTAGTAGATATAATGTAACAAACTTGAAATCAATGTTAAGTCTTTCCAATTTTGCATGTATTTTGTTTTAGTCTGTTACATTTCAATTAAAATTTCAAGTGCTGTGGGAAGATAAAATAGATGAGACAGTAGACTAATTCTAGCAATAGTATTATGAGACTGTGAACAATAAATATGGTTCTTATTTGGCCTTAGGAATTATATACCATATAAATAGAAACTTTCTCACTTAGACTGTCTATTTTTTAGATTACATGTGGTTGAGTTACCATATACCATCAAAATATTTCTTAATCCTTCATTATGACTTACATGATATTCTTAGCTAACTGTCTTTTTAAACACTAAGCTCGCTTCTGCCACTAAGGTTCCATTTTCTAATAATAGATATTAATAGATCTAAAACTGAGATTCAATAAAAACAAATTACCAATCATTTTTTCAAATTCCTCATCATCCACATCTTCTACACTCTCTTCATCAGCACTCCGTTTTTGTTTCTCTTTAACAATAGCAACTTTTTTATAATACCTAAAACAAAAATGCATCTTATGTATTTATTAAAGGTCTGATCTTGATATAATTAAAACACTGAAGACAAACCACAATTATATTAAATTTTTTATGTATAGACTCAATTGGAGATGAGTGAAATTTGTCAATATACAAAAAATAATTAGATTTCAACAAAATAGGTATAAACTTGAGAAATGCAGTGGAATAAATTTCAACAATCTTAGTTTCTTTAAACTATTTCTTAACAACTCACTGATTARCTCATCTTAATCAGCGTGGCACAGTAGGGGATGGGGGTGCAGCTCAGTAGTACAGCATTTGCCTAGCATGCACAAGGACCTGGTTTGATCATCAGTATGTGAAAAAAGTAAGGACGACAACAGAAAACACAAAAGTAGAGTAATAGGTTGTTTCAGCTTCAATACTGACGATCTAAGTATTAGAATACTTTGGTCTAAATGATCTCAAAATCACAATAGTTTGTCAGCCCTACTCTTACACTAGGACACAGCAAAAAAAAAAGAAAAAAAAAGCATTTTCCAGATGATATCCATACCTTTAAAATTAAGTCAAATTAACCTATTARCCAGCTAAAATAATTTTACTTTTATAAGGTATTAACAGTAATTCTAGCAGATTTAGAACTTATTTCTACGAAGGCACAATGAATCTGGCCAATTCAGCTTTAAAGGCCATGATCTGGCCAAATTACTGGTGAGTTATCACTATATTAAACTAATATAGATTTTTTTTTTTTTTTGGTAGCAGGAATTGAACTCGGGGGCACTCAACCACTGAGGCACATCCTCAGCCCTATTTTGTATCTTAAGAAACAGGGCCTCTCTGAGTTGCTTAGTGCCTTGCTGTTGCTGAGGGTGGCTTTGAACTCACGATCCTCCTGTTTCAGCTTCCTGAGCCACTGGGATTACAGGTGTGCACCACTGCACCTGGCCTAAACTAATGTAGATTTTAAGTCTATAAAATTACTGTATTAAAAAAAAGACAAAATTCTATAAATTCAAGTTCATAAACAAAAATTTATATGCTAAATTATTAAAAATKCCTCAAGCTGACTGTATTTTCATTAAGGTATCTTAAGATCAGCAAAATGAGTAATCTTAATTTCCTTTACAAAATAGAATTATAGACACATTATTCTCTGATCTTCTCAAACTATAACAATGTCAATGAAAGATTTTAGGGGATCTAAAAATTTAAAAAGTTCCCCAATGAAACTACATTAAATATATTACCTGTGGAAAAACACTTCATCCACTGGTATTTGGCTTTCTTCTTTTGCRAGGAACTCCTTACTATTCACTGTAAAAATAAAGCATTTTAATTTATCATAGTAATCTCCTTTATGTGACAACCTCTGAGGACCAAATACAACACATCTATAATTCTAACATCTTAAAATGTGAGGAAGGTGGACAGAAGGGATCCTGAAATGCAAAGAACAATGTTGGGAAAAGTTGTTGTGGAGAGGATTCAACATATGAGACTGTTGATGTCACAGAGAAAAGTAGGCAGTTCATAGCCCAGTCACAGTAAAGGATTCTTTGAGTCTTCCAGTTGCATCCAGCATCCAAATTTTAAGAGAAATAAAAATTCAAAGAGTTATTTAACTTTATTTTTATGTGGTGCTGAGGATTGAACYCAGTAACTCACATATGCTGGGCAAGCACTCTGCCACTGAGGCACCACCCCAGCCCCATAGAGTTATTCTAATGTATAATCATTTTAAACTTRTGCTTGTCATTCTAAGAACAGGAAGTAATGGTAAACAGAATTTTCTATAATTTTACTTATTAAGAAAATTAAGAAACAAGAATAATGAATGACAAAAACATTAGCTTTCGCCCTTCAGAATTAAAGACATCTGATTCATCCTTAATGAAAGAAAATCTGACTTCTAATTCTACTTTTAATTTTGAGTAAGCTCTTTTATATCTGTAGCTSTTTGTGAGGTCAGTCAGTTGGAAATTAAATTATTTATAAAGTTCATCTTAATCCTACTCTCAGAACAAAGGGAAGGTAGGATTTCACATGCAAAGAAATGTCTGCTCTGAATAGAAAAGCAGAATCAGATCCTGTTTAACAGAAGTAAGATTATCAATGAAGTTTAAAATGATACTCCATGACAAAGCCAACTTTTTTTTTCCTGCTAAGCCTATATCAGAGAACTTAARATGATTTGAGCCATAAAAGAACATTTATGAAGGAGTTACTGATAGAGCTATAGATAATACAAGAAAGGAAAATGGTAATAAGTGCTTAAGCTGGGTGAGGGTTCCAGGAGGCTTCATCATACTGTTTGGTTTTACTTTTGGATATGTTCGAAATTTTTACTCTGGTAGAGCAAAGAATAATATAATTTATGTTTTATTGTCTTGTACCATCTTTTCTGTTTCAATTGTCCAACCTTTATACTTACCAGCAAGACCGTGAGTATCCTTTATAAAATGTTTCCTTTTTGGCTGCATCACAACACTGTCAGTATTTTCTGAAATGTAAATCAGGACAGTCTAATATAAGAYCTGTGTTCATGTTGTTTACTAAGTATAAACATCGAACACTGAATAATTCATTAAACAGAAGCCTACCTTTGCCTTTATGTGGCTTTGGATTTCGGTATACRAATCGATCCAAGAATCTCATTAGGGTGAAATCCTGCAGTGGGTCCCCGGAATACTGGATATAATTTCCCTGAAAAGAAAAAAATGGGGGAAAAAAATCGGTCTCTCCAGGTAAGAAAAGAAAAAAGAAAAACATAAGCTTCTATTATCTTGTATCAAAGGCAGAGATCATCATTCAAATATCCCTCAAATACACACTGTACTACAAATGAATTAAATATACATATACATACACATTATATGATGCTATGTTGATTTTGTGTGTAGGTAAATAAGAATAATGTGGCCATCTAACCATTAGCTGGGAATCAAACCCTAAAGTGGGAAACTCAGCAAATAGGGAGAGGGCAATCTTTCTCCAGAATTTTGCCAGAATGTAATGAATAACCATTGTGGTTTTCTAATGTCCCACATTTCTATTCATCTCAGACATTGGGAAGAATTATTTGCTGCTCTGTATTAAACAAGTTGTTGTTCCTCTACAAGAGTAGTGGAAAAAAAATATATATATATGATTCTAGATGGTGGAGAAAATATCATATGACCAATTATTGATTATCAAAACCTATATCACTTTTGAATATTTTAGACTTACCTGAAGGATAGTTTTTGCAAAAAGGGCCACGGAGGGATGAAAATGCTCCGATAACTAGGAAGAAAAATGTGAATAATGTCAATTTCTTTTCTTTCCTGATACTGGGATTSAACCTAGTAGTGCTCTATCACTGGACTATATCTGAACTCTACTCATTTTTTGAGACAGGGTCTCACTGAGTTGCTGAGGCCAACCTCGAACCTGTGATCCTCCTCCTCCTCAGCTTCCTGAGGTGCTGGGATTACAGGCGTGCACCACCATGCCTGGCTAATGCCAATATTTCTAAGATTGTCTCTTACTGCAATTAAACTTAAATTGAGGACAATCCAAAGAACTGAAACTTAATACATCAGAAAGATGATTCTCAAGCATTTCAGTGCCAGGACCATTTTATACACTTAAAAATCAAGGATCCCAGAAATTTTATTTTAGTGKGTTATATGTGTTGGTATTTATTAGCAATTACAACAGAAAACTTTTAAATAATTATAGTTATTTAAAATAATAAACCCATTACCTATTAATGTAAACYGCATGTTTATGAAAAATAGTTTTCAGACAAAAAAAATTACTATGTCAAGAAGAATAGCATTGTCTTAGGTTATTTTCCTTTACTTTTTAAAAAATATTTATTTTTTAGTTGTAGTTGGACACAATACCTTCATTTTATTTATTTATTTTTACGTGGTGCTGAGGATCAAACCCAGGGCCTCACACCAGCTAGGCAAGCACTCGACTGCTGAGCCACAACCCCAGCCTTTGTTTTGCTTTTGAAGGTAATGGGGATTGAGCCCAGGGGCTGGCACATACTACCACTGAGCTGAATCCCCAACCCTTTTTTAAAATTTTATTTTGAGATAGGGACTTGACCTCAAACTTGCAATCCTCCTGCCTCAGATTTCTGAGTAACTAGAATTAGAAGTGTAGGGCATTGCCCCTGGCTTAAATTACAGCTTTACAAATCTCTTTAATATCTGGCTTAATAAAAGACAATGGATTCTTTTTATCTKCTACTGTATTCCATGTTATTTTACTTGAAGTATATGAAGAAAATGTGGCCTCACATGGATATGTTGTTGGAAAATGAGGATTTAAATAATACCCTTTCACAAAAGCATGGAGATTTTCTTCTTTGATGCCACTGAAGATTAATTACAATTTGAAACTAAGTCAAGCTGTTAGCATTGTTTACTTATAATTATTTGGTCTACTTTGTATCTTTATGTTATACATTGGTCATCTGAAAAATATCAACCTGTCTTCCAAATGTTTTATTATAGAACAATCATAGTGTCACCACTAATTTCATCAGAAAAGTTTTTTTTTTTTTTTTTTTTTTTTACCTAGGCATATGCTGTTATAATGTCAAGCTCAAGATAGTGGTTATAAGATTTCTAAAAATTTTAATCTTTGCTTGAGATCTTGAATTTCATTATTAACAACAAATAATGTTGTTTTCCTTGAAGCAACAGGATTGATTCATTTTCAAAAAAATACCTCCCAGATCCCCATGTATGAGTAAGCCGTTTGTCAGTTTTACGAAAAAGCAGTTACATGAGTTTGGATTGGCTACCCAAGAGTTCCCTGAGACATGAAAGAATCTTCACACTACAGAAATGTGCTATGGAAAATCGAATAGACATGCACTTTAAGGTGAAGACTCACTGAAAAGGCATCAGGGATCCTGAGAGGTCTGTGATAACATTTTAATAATAGTTGTATAGGAAGACAATATTTATCATTTACAGGAAAAATGGAAACTTTGATGTGTTAAATCCACAAGATCAAGACTATACATAGCACAAATGAAGTGAAAGATAATTTGGAATTATTTTACCTTTTTGAGTTCCCAAAGACTTGTATTTTCAGCTCCACAGAACAAAGGGTTTCTACTGAATGGATCATATGTTTTCAGTTGTTTGCCACCTAAAACCCAAAAATAGTATTTTTCAAATGCTTTATTTCTAGTCCAAGATGCCATTAAAACTACTATGATCAATATTTTCATAGATAGATAATCTTAATTAGCCAGGCTTCCTAGCTTGAAAACTCYAAATCTCTTCAAGAATTTATCTTGGTATCTAAGCTAACATTTKTTCTTGAATAAACCAAGCTCAGGTACTAACACATCCCTTCATTACTTTTCAAATAGCAACAGAAGGTGCTGAGCCACAAATSCAGGTTCATAAATGTGAAGATGGAAATTACCTGAAGATAGAATAGGTTTAAAGTTCTTCTGTATTTGTAGAATGATCCAATTATTTGTCTTTAGAGTGTTTCTAGAATAATTCTTACTTGGAACAGATTTATACTATGTTCACGTTTTCAGAAACTCAGCATTGGGCTGTGATTGTAGCTCAGTGGTAAAATGCTTGCCTAGCATGTGTGAAGCACTAGATTCGATCCTCAGCGCTACATAAAAATAAATAAATAAAATAAAGGTATTCTGTCCATTTATAATTACAAAAAAAAAAAAATAGGGCTGGGGATGTGGCTCAATGACAGAGTGGCCCTGAGTTCAATCCCCAGTACCCGCCCCCCCACAAAAGAACGAAGCTCACCATTATTCAAAAACCCAGTGTAAACTATCTCACAATGCACACCTTGTCATCCTTCTAAAGGATTTTTCTCAGGTTAGTCTTCATGATAACTGATGAATTCTTATAAAAACATTCTATGACAKATTTAATTCAGTTTGTGTATGTGGAAAACCACTTAAGGTTTCTAAGTCACAGAAAGTTTTACTATCTGAAAACACTGCTTTAAGAAACTGTAGATGGGCTGGGATTGTGGCCTAATGGTAGAGCGCTCGCCCAGCATGCGTGGGGTCCTGGGTTCGATCCTTAACAACACATATAAATAAATGAATGGAATAAAGGTATTGTGTCCAACTACAACTAAAAAAATAAATAAATATTAAAAAAAAGAAACTATAGATGGTCAAATAAAAGAACAAAAAGGTCTACACAATTCACAACTTATGACAAAATGCTTTTGTTCAGAAACTACTTGTTTATATTCATGTATTTAAGGGCTTTGCATGTAAAGATAAAAGGTCATGAAATTAAAATTGGCTCAACTTTTTATAGCTGAAGGAAATGAGACTTATTGTACATCTCAAATGTCCAATTTTTTCACTTAATCCTCACAGCTCTACTTGCTTTAATTTCTGATTATCTATTTTAAAATGCATAGTTATCAATGTCTTGCTATATTTAAAATTTACTTCTATGCCTGGGGATACAGTTCCATGGTAGAATATTTGCCTAGTATAGACAAGTATATAGTTTGATCCTCTACATCACCAAAAAGAAAAGAAAATTTCTGTGCAGATCAAAGAGAAAACTAATTAGCTGGTTTAAGAATTCAAGAGAAAAATTTAAAGATTCAAAAGCCYTCACCTTTCAAATTATCAAAATGTACCCAGGAAGGAGTCTTTGGTTTTGTGGTGTCTGTGTCGCTTTCAGGCACTGCTTCCTCTGTTTGCACTTTTTTCATTGTATCCATTTCTGTTTCTTTGTCTGCATCAGTGAATTTTTCTATGTCTTCATCATCTCCTATGTCAACAAAATTTTCTTCATCATCAGACTCCTAAAAAAAATGGTTTAATAAATTTATGTTAATTAACTGGAAGTTGCAATAAAGTCAGTCTTCAATCATGTGATATAGAACTTTGAAGAAATACTTTTGCAATTTGGTGAAACATGAAAAGTCTAATAAATAAAATGTTGGGCTTGAATGATATGTAGATTAAGAGAGATAGCATCCTTTTATTTCTAAATGAAAAAGTGTTAAATTTTGAGCCAAGAGCTCCTGAGGTTTTGGAACTTTACTACTTAGCCCACAAATAAATATTTGGTATGTTGTAAATAACCCTATGAGGTGCTATAATTTTTTTTTTCATTTTGCAATTGAGGAAACAAATTAAGAGATCTATTAGTTCTATAATCTTCTATCACTTTCTCACAATATTGGAGTTTCTAGTGTAATACAATTTAYTACAAGTAAAGGGATCAAGCAACCTGTCCCCACCTAGCTAATTGTATACCTGGCATTAAAATCTAGGTCTGTCTGATTCTAGACCGCACACTGTGCTCCAGAGAACTAAGTTACCTTCACTGAAGCAAAGARAAATAAAACAAACCACCAATATATTTTAGCTCATACTTGATTTAAAAAACAGTTTTCAAACATACCGGGTGATCATTTAATTGACTTCTTAAACCTGGTTTTGCTTTAAAGATCTCAGACACAAGATATAAAGCTCCACATATGAAAGGTGGCATCTGTGTGCAAGTAACCTGAAGCAACCGCTTCACAAAAGCCTTCACACGACGCAACACAATGTCAGCTTTCAGAGATTTGTAGACAAGGTTAAGAAACATAGCTTGCTTGGAACACATCATCAACCCAGGATCCAACATCTTTCTGTAAAATAAAATCAATACAGAGGTATAACTTTCCTACTTACATTAGTGGAAATAGGTAAAACGTAAATTAATGACCTGAAGAGAAAGAGTRATGATGRTAACAAGGGAAAAAAAGTTACAGGAGCAAAAAGCATTTTGTTTTATGGTTTCCTCTCCTTTCTGTTTTATAAACTAATTGGACACAACCCTAATAGTGTAAAGTTTATAAGAATATAGCACCCCACTAAAAGGCTAATCTGAAACCAAATAATGAAAAAGCAGTGAGCCRGAAGACCTGCTTTTCTCCACATATTAGTACCTACTTGCTGGGTGACCAGAGGCGTCCCCACATGGCTCTAGTGAACACTATCTATGAATAATAGAAAACTAAATTGTGAGGACTTCAGAGAATCTCTGGTCCAATGTATTAGCTGTATAGTATCCCTTCCATACATGCTATTCTTTCTGTCCAAAATGCTTTTCCCCACTTAGAGAGTATCTAAAATCAATTCCTCCTCTATTATCCTCTCATTTTCATATTCATGTTCTTCACAGTTTCACAAACTTTGTTTCTTTGGCTTTCCTGCCTTTCTCCTAAGTTCCAATAGGACACGGACTATGCCTATTTTTTACTGTGTCCTTAATGTCTGAACTAAGTGCTCAATGTTTTTTGAGTGAATAAATGAATATCCAAAGTAAATGTTTGTGCATTCCTCACTCTCACTAGGAATCCAATCCCATTTTRGACAGCTAGAAATCTCCTCACTTACTTGGGGGGTGCTGAGGCTCAAACTCAGGACTTCACATACGCTAGGCAAGTCTCTTACCATTTAGTCCCCAGAAATCCCTTCTTTATCCAAAGCCGAAATCTGTTCCTATATAATTTACAAACATGAATTCTAATATCCCCTGAAGCAACACAACCGAATTATATTTTTACTGCACAGCTTTTCAAATACTTGAATCTATATAGCTATTATGTGTTGCTCTCTCCTCAGAGTCTTCTATGGGGTGCTCAATTCTAGTATCATTAACTTTTATTTTTGGGAATGCTGGAAATTGAATATAGGGCCTCTTACCATTGTTCTACCAAACTATACCCTATTATGATAATTTAAAATATTCTTCAACTARAATCTCACAGATGCCCCAACTGGTCTGGACCTCTACATATCAGGTCATCTAACTAGGTTAGCTTTAATAATGTGGGATCATTGCTTCCTTTACTCTTAAGCATTTCCATTAACTTCTTTTCATTAGTAGTAGAAATGAAAATACATGTTTCTATATTGCTCTGTATACCCATTTTCCCTGTTGTCAGTTCTATAATTCTAGAATATCTCAGTGATAAGAGAATATTGTATTATTCAGATTTCTTCCTTCACACTTAAACTTTTCAATATTTTTACCCATGCAACTCAGTTTTAATCATAAATTTCATCCCAGGTCAACAGATTTGAGAATTTAGAMATGTTTTCATCATGACAGAGAGCATTTTCCTTAACTTTTTAAAATTTATTTTATTTGTAAATGGATACAGTATCTTTTTATGTCTTTATTTGTATTTGGTCCTGAGAAGTTACACGTATGAGGCAAGTGCTCTACTACTGAGTTACAGCCCTAGCCTTCCTTAAGTTTTTGATAAATCATRTTTTTGTCATCCAAATCACATTTCTTTCTTTTTTTTTTTTTAAAGAGAGAGTGAGAGAGGAGAGAGAGAGAGAGAGAGAATTTTTTAATATTTATTTTTTAGTTCTCGGCGGACACAACATCTTTGTTTGTATGTGGTGCTGAGGATCGAACCCGGGCCACACGCATGCCAGGCAAGCGCGCCACCGCTTGAGCTACATCCCCAGCCCCAAATCACATTTCTTTGATCCTTMAATTAAGTAGGATTTTTAAAATTTAATGAATTCTTAGTAAAGCCAAGAGCAAATAGATCATTTAAGAGGGCTTAAAAGTTTTAAAAGAAATTCATCTCTGAGAGGTGTTGGCTAATAGTAATTGAAAAGAACTTGGGAATATATTTGTCCTCAGAGATAGACTGTTGCATTAAACAGACTGCTGTTACATGGAAGAGAAAAAACTTTTCAAATAGATTCCAAACATTTTCTAAAAATATTTCTATGACCCTCAAAAATTAAACAAAACCCCCAAATTTCTACATTTTCAGCTTTGAACTTTTGTTTTCTCAGCGGTAGAGTGCTTGCCTAGCACGGGTGGGACCCGGGTTCAATCCTCAGCACCACATAAAAATAAAGGCATTGTGTTGTGTCCATCTACACCTAAAAAAATAAATATTAAAAAAAAAATCTAAATTTCTTTTTGGTTATACAGTAGAATGCATTTTGATATATTATACATACATGGAGTATAATCCCATTCTTGTGACTGTACATGATGTGGAGTTACACTGGTCTTGTATTCATATATGAACATAGGAAGGTTATGTCTATCTGATTGATTCTACYGTCTTTCCTATTCCTATCCCCCATCCTTTCCTTCATTCCCCTTTGTCTAATCCAAAGAACTTCTATTCTTCCCTCCCCTTCTTAATGTGTTAGCATCCACATACATTTGGCTTTTGTATTTTGGATTGGCTTATTTCACTTAGCATGACAATCTCAAGTTCCAGCCACTTACTGGTAAYGGCCATTATTTCATTCTTTAGTAATATTCCATTGTGTACATATGCCACATTTTCTTTTTTGGAACTCTTCTTAWATTATGAATGGTAAGTATCAATTACTTAAAAAAATCACAGATTCTTTAAAAAGTGTTGTGTAAGATCTTTGAGATTCTTTTTAGTGTACCAAAGAAATGACTTCCATTACATCTCCAGTTCTATTTCCTTAATATTCCAAAAGATTTAAAACAAAATGTTAATTTTCAAATACAGATGGTAAGATATGACTTAATTAAAGTTCGTGAGTAGCAAGTTGCTGAGGGAGGTCTAACTCCAGTTTTCTAACTCTTCCTTGAGCTCTACACAGGGAACTGCACGTGCTATATTAGATCAAGTTATCTGTCATGTTTATGTATTAGAATGCTTTGTACCTACCTGTATAAGGCTGTATAATATCGATCTGATATTGTCTGCTGAGAATTCATTACCTGGAAAAGCAACATTAAAGCCTGCACACTRGTATTAAAGTTTACAACATGCAACACTTTGAACAAAGTATCAACCTGCTCTTTCACTTTCTCATCACCTGTCTCYGAATAAGGGTATGCCCTATTCACACCTGTTAGAAGGGCACTAAGCATTTTTGACTCAATATCTTTTTTCTTGATACAAGTCCGAAAAAAACAAAAATAAAGAGTTATTAATTTGTTAGCCAATTCACTTTCTTCATGGGAGAGGACCATTTGATTTAAAAAGCAAAYTGCATAATATTGAGCTTTGGAGCTGATATTTGAACGAAAGAGTAGCCTTTCTACTTCACCACACACAACTCCTTTCATATTGGGATGTTTACAAAGTAATGTCTCTAACAGGTGGGAGGCTTTTGTGGCTATTCTGTTCTGAGGATCTCCCAGTTTATTTACCACCTGAACAAGAAGAGCCTTTTCTTCCTCAGGCTTGTTACAAAGAAGCTCATGAGCAGCTGTAAGTGCTCGAGTTTTAGTGGTTACTAATGAATCATGACTTAAAGTTTCTAAGACCTGAACAAATTCAGCTACTAAGTGTTTTAGTTGGTGTTCAAAATACCACAATATCAACCTTCTATCTCTTGAATCCTTGTTGCCACTGGACAACTGTTCTAATTTGTTGAATGGATGCTGACTGAAAATCCGTAACTTTCGACTTTCTGGCAAAAGGTCTGTAATGAGTAACTCYTTGAAAGTATCCAAAGCCATAAGGCACTGCTGTTTGCTGCCCTTCTTTTTAACAAGGTTCACAAGAGTTTCTACAAATTGGAGTGTGTGAATCGCATCATCCTGGATGAGAAGGATCATGGCTGCCATCCGGTCACCTAGTGTCCCTGATGATACAATCGCCTTCATCCAGGTAGAAGAGGCTCCCTTTTGATTATTCGTCTTACTTTTGAATAAGTTAACTTCATGCTCATATAGCTTCTGAGCCAGAGTTTTGTACTTAGACACAATATCTTGAGGCTGAGGTTCCAAAGAATATTCATTGGTATAATCCAAATCATACCATTTGCCCCCAGGCTTGAGTAACAATGTCTGTCTCTCAAAAAATTCAAAGATGTCTTGTTGTTTATCTTTCTTTACTTTTGATATGGTACCACTGTTCTTATCAGAACGCTGTTCTGGCCTCTTATTTTTCACCTTATTGATTGATGTCCGTTCACTTTCTGCTGCATTTTGCTTTTTACTATCTATGTTAGATACTTTTRTTTCTTTTTTGCTGGCATTTTCCTTTTTAGGTTGTTCATCATCTTCAATGAAAGATTTTGCATATTTGGCCAAACTAAGATTTTGAATAAATGCTTCCAGTTCACCTTGCTGAAGATCATCAACTGCTCCTTTTTTTCCTCCATCCACCACTTCCTCATTTTCATCCAAAGTAGCCAGCATAAGGTAATCTTGCTGTATAAAAAYATAAAAAGTTAAAAATATATCACCAATCCAACACTTCAGTTACAACTTCATCTTTGAAATCAATGAAACATTGAATTACAGTATTACCTGGGCTTCCACCCTCCCTCCAAATACTTGATGGATCCAAATTTAAATGTGCCAAAACCATAAAATAAGGGAAGAAGGTACAACATAAAAAAAAAAAAAATTTAGAATGGGAAAAATCTTAAAATTCAACGTAAAATTCAGGGCCCACAAAAGATAGGATCAGTAAATTTATCATTCTCTCACACATAAAACATATAGAAAAATAAAAAGACAAATGAAAACTGAAAATTGTAGCAACTCATAAAAGTAAAGCTCATTACCTTAATACAAAAGGTTTTGCATATCAGTAAAAAAGTGAGAAGTACCCAACAGGAAAACATGCAAAGGATAGCAACATGATAGAGAAAAATGGTTCTTTAGAAGATACGAAAAGATGCTCAACTTTGTTAGCATTTGTACAAATTCAAGTTAAACTGCATTTGGTGAGGGCAGGAGCGCTTTCACATATGGTTGATGTGAATGTAAACTGGTACAACCTCTATGGAGGGTGATTTATCAACTTTAATCAAAACACAAGGCACACACATATGCGTTAACCCASCATTTCCATTTCGGCAAATTTAAATTACACATATACTTACAAATATGGGGGTGAAAAATGTCTAAAGTTATTTACTGCATTATTTAAAATAGCGAATCATTGGCAACAATTTAAATATTCATAATAGATAAATTAAGACACAAAATGATTTATGCAGATACAAGTCCAATAACAGAATTTTATACAGCCACACAGAAGGAKCTCTAAAGACAGAAAAAAAGATGCAAAATATATGGCAGCATTTGTGTAAAGAATAACAATACATGCGTATATTTCATTTACATAATTGTGCATGTGTGAGGTCTAGGATATACCTGGAAGATATAAAATACAAAATAAAGTATAAAATATAATTGCTGTCTAGAAGATAAATTGCATATCAGGAGATAAAAGTGGGACAGAAGATTTTTCATTGTGTGCCACCCCAACAACCTTTTAAAGTTTATATCGTATATATATCACTTATTCAAGAATTAAATATAACCCAAGTATGAAATAAACAATAAATCTGTCCATATGATTACATATGTCCTTCTTCTAACAGCACCCCTCCCCCCACCCCTCTCCAAACTTAGTTAGGCACAATTCTGTCTTTGATTTTACACTGTCTGTTCCATCTGACTGGRCAGACACATGGCTCACCTTTCCTTTTCCTCAAGTTTTAGCTCAAGTATCTTCAGACCTGCGTTTACAGGTCATCTCATTTAAAACTGTAATGCCCTCTCAACTCTGTATCCTCCTCCTTTTTCTCTGGCACTACTTAGCATCTGATGTACTATCTAAAGTTTGTTTACTGTTTCTTTTAACTTGGAAAGTGAATTCCATAAAAGGGAGGCTTTTGGAGCGTACAGCGAGCATGCCCAAGCCCCCTTTGAGTACAGAAGTTCCAACACAGGCCATCAAAACACTAAAATCACGAGGTCAGGACCAAGAAGTCCGTTTTCTCGGACCTGATGGAGTGATGGTTATACCACGTCAATAACATGAGGATCGCTTATTCCCTGAAGAAGGCCACAGCATAAAACGTTCAATCCAGACTTTTTCTCTTGCAAAGAGCGGTGGAAAGAAGMGAGGGAAGCGCACCGAGCACATTCTACAGCTCTGATCTGGATCCGCAGGGCTGGAGCGGCGGACCACTGCCCTGATACTCTCAGAACTGCTCCCACACCCGCCCGGGTCTCCCTTCCGTGGAAGCCTCCGGCCGTTACCTTTGTGCCTCCGAGCCGTAACACCTCCTCCAGCGAGAACCCATTTTCGGCTTCACCGCTATCATCTTCGTCCTCCTCATCCGGATCGCCTACCGCCTCTTGCCCAGCCCAGGGCCGCTTGGCATGGAACTCCAAAGGCGCCTTCGCAGCCGCCATGCCTAACGGAGCACGCGCGCGCAATCTGCGGGCCACTTCCGCTTGTCACGTGACGTACTTCCCCGTGGGGGCGTGTCATCTCCCGGAAGCGACCGCAATCCCCGCCCTCGGGGCGGTGCATGGATGCTTGAGACGGTCAGCATGTGGGTCCCAGCGAGGTCCGCTGTGCGGCCTCTGTGGAACGCCGCGCGCGTTGGTAAGCGTCGGCTCCGCAGAATCCGGGCTCCAGTGGAATCGACTAGAGCGCCTCCGGTGCTCCTTTGGGGTCTCCTGGGGCTCAGGGGCTCACCTCCAGCCCGAAGGCGCTCGGGGCCGGAGACTGGAGTCCCGCCAGAAACTAAATGGCTGTGAGATCGTGGCCATAGTGCGTGCCTCCTCTGCGCCTCTTGGGCGCGCTGCGCACGGTATTCTGCTTTCAGGGCTGGACTTAGCGAAGCTGCCTTGAAACCTGTCAGGCTGCTTGCACATACAGATACTGAGATTTATAATGGGGCCTACTTGACCTGTGTTTTTCAGTCATTCCCTGCATTTGGAGAGGGAAATACTTCAGTTCCGGGAATGAACCTGCAGAAAACAACCGGGTGACCCCAATGYTGCGGCATCTTATGTACAAAATAAAATCTACTGGTCCCATCACCGTGGCCGAGTATATGAAGGAGGTGTTGACCAACCCAGCCAAGGTATGGGTTTGACTCCTGAGGATGGAGAGGCCCCGTCTTTCCTGTTCTAAAGTCCTCTTAAGGACTGCCATAATTTTTTTTGACCTGAATTTCCTTGTCAGCTCTACAAATCCATTTGGTGGAAGCCTGTAATTCTTTGTTTTAGACTTTTTTACATTTTGCTGGGTTAAATGTGATACCTGTAGAATTCTGGGATTGGTTCTGCCAATTACTGTTGGAATTGGTGGAGAGACCCAAGTATACAGAGGTTTTCTAAAGGCAGGGATACTTGAATGTTTGTGAGCAGTGCTACAAGATAGGTGGCTTAGATGAGTGTGAAAGGTGAAAGGTGAGTGGTTTAGAAACAAAACTTGGACTCACAGGATCTGCTGATGGGTTAAGTATGGAAAGGTGAAGAAAAGGAAGGAATCAAGACTGATTCCTAGATTCTTCAGCTATTGTGTGATGGTGGTGATTTGAGGTTAAGATAGAGTTGATCAGGTTTGAAGGAGCATTGGGGAAGAAGGTTTACATCAGGAGCTGCATCTTATACATACTGTGTTGGCAGTGACATCCAGGTGGAGATAGTAAGTAGGCAATTGGCTATAGGAGTCTAGAGTTCAGGTGAAAGTTTAGGGGTGTATGTGTGAATTTGATTGTCATCAGTGTATGGTGATTAAAGACAAGGAACTGGAAAGTGTGTACTTACAGAAAGAAAGATTTCCAAAATTAAGATTTGGACTAAGTCTAAAATTTAGTGTTGAGGTTCTTAACCTAAGGATCCTTGAATGGAAATCTGGGGAGTTTGTGAACTTGAACTGAAAAAAAAATTTCTCCTTCATTTTCATTAACTTCTAACAGCGGTTTAGTATTTCTTCAATTATGAACAGGAAGAACCAGTAACATCCCACAATATCTGTGACTTTGTTATTAGTGGAAATCACTGATATCATATATTATATAGATCACAGCTGTTTCAAAATACCATTGTACTCATTCCTGCTTAAAAACTTAGTCTTTGGTTTGATTTTTGTATCTTAATAAACTAATAAAGAAGTATATATATTTTATCACAAATGTATTTTTTAACATTTGATAATATTTTTAACTTGATTTTTACAATGCTGTATATTTAAAATTTTGTGCATTTAAAAACACTATGAGGCAGGAGGGGTAGGCAGAGTCTTACTATGGTGGACTGTAAGAGCAGGGAGGGGGGAAAAGTAGGGAGGACAGAGATGGAACACTACATGGCTGAAAAATTGAGGAGTAATTGTTTTTTGTCAGTTCTGTAAAATCATTATTACTTTGTAAAATTTAGGTAAATAGTATACTGTCTTTATCTTGCCTAGTTACAAGAGAGAACTTTGACACTTGAATTGTTTGATACTTTGAATTGCTTTGCTGCATATTATATAAGATTTCGAAGGAGTGTTTTTAAAAAGCCTTAATTGAAAATTAATTTTTCTCCATTTTCTCTTTTTACTCAGGGATATTACGTACACCATGACATGCTAGGAGAAAAAGGAGATTTCATTACTTCACCTGAAATAAGTCAGATCTTTGGCGAGGTAATACCCAATGTAATCTATAACAGACACTATAATATTTAATATCATAAACATTGGAAAGCACAGCAGATCAAGTTGTATTAGTTGATAATAGTTTTTTACAAGTTTTTTTTTTGTTTGTGTGTGTGTGAGATCAAGTTTTAAAAACTTTTAGAGGGAATAGGGAGGCAATAGAGGAAAATGGTAGAGAAGACATTTGAAAAGTTTATACTTCTCTGTGGAAAAGGAAATGAAGAGATGAGAGGGACAAAGAGAAGGAAAGATGATGAAAGTAAAGAGGTTGGAAGAGGAGAACCAGAGGAAATATTAGAATGGAAGCAGGAAAAAAAGAAAATGTAAAAAAGAACACTGAAGAATTAGTGGACTCAAGATGAGGTCTAAAGCTCCCAATCATGATTTATCCATAGTTACAGTAAAAATCTTCTTTCCACTAAAACAGAATTTTAGTTCATTTATTTCCATAAAGTACCTTTGGTGATTTAGAAATAAGAAATTATACACAAGTGGAAGTAAATACAGGTATTGAAAAACTAATTATATCTAAGAATTATGTATTTATAAAATCATGTGAGTATGAAGAAATGGCATAATGGCATTTCATGTCTGTCTACTTTCAAATCTTGAGAATCTTTCTGTAAGTGGTTATCCTCTTATTTGTTTCATGGGGCCTTTTACAGTGAAGGCTGTCATATTACTTTCTCCTGTTGATAAGCTTCCTACATGGTGTATATTATGACAGCCTTGGTAAAGTTCCTGTGTTTATGTGTGTGTGTGTATATATATATCAAATAACAGAGTTTATTTGCAAATATTTTGCTTTCTGGCATAAAATGCATTATTTATGAGGAGTTTTATATTCTTTAATACTTTATAATACTTTATGTTTTTCCATGTCATAGCTAATAGGAATATGGTTCATTAGTGAATGGATCGCTRCTGGAAAAAGTGCAGCTTTCCAGCTGGTGGAACTGGGCCCAGGTCGGGGTACCCTCACAGGAGATATTTTGAGGGTAAGTAATAAAAAAAAGTCTGTAAGTCACATGTAGATTAGTCTTCTTAATATGATGTTTGAATTCCTCAGCATTCACTCCTACCTCCTTAATCTTATATTTCTCAGCTAAAATATAATAATGTCAGAGAAATGTGATGAATGGATCATCTTTATTTATTATCTGTAAGCTTAAAAAATATGGTAGGGAGAATATAAAGCTAAAATTATGAAATGTTTGAAGACGTTATGGGAGAGTATATTTGTCTTCTCAGTAAGGAAGATTTTTAAAAATTATATAAAAAGCAGAAGCTGGGCTAGGGATGTAGTTCAGTGGTAGAGTGCTTACCAAGCACATGCAAGGCCTTGGGTTCGACCCCCAGCACCACAAAACTAAAAAAAAAAAAAAAAAAAAAAAGCCCAGAAGCCATAAAGGAAAAGAGTAATAATTTAATTTCAACTATATTAAAATTAAGAACTTATTGTTAAAGAAATTATGAATGTCTTGTTTATTCAAAGACTATAGAATGATGAGATACTACAAAATAGGACAAGTTATTTCTTTTTTTTTTTTTTTTTAAAGAGAGAGTGAGAGAGGAGAGAGAGAGAGAGAGAATTTTTAATATTTATTTTTTAGTTCTCGGTGGACACAACATCTGTGTTGGTATGTGGTGCTGAGGCTCGAACCCGGGCTGCATGCACGCTAGGCGAGCGCGCTACCGCTTGAGCCACATCCCCAGCCCCAGGACAAGTTATTTCTAACACATATAACCAAAATAGTTATAATACATAAAGAACTGCTTTAAATCAATAAGCACATAACAGATAACTAAATAGAAAGATCAGGCTAGAGATGTAAAAAGGTACTTTATAAGAGAGTATTGAAATGACTAATAAAAAGATGCTCAGTCTCTGATAGTTAGGAAAATGGAAATTAAAATTAGTGATGTAGCACTGTAACCCTTACCAGGTTAGAAGCCAGGTATGGTGATCCACACCTGTAATCCCAGCAGCTCAGGAGACTGAGGCAGAAGGATTACCTGTTTGAGACCAGCCTCAGAAACTTAGGAAGACCCTGTCTCAAAATAAAAATGGACTCGGGGTATAGCTTAGTACCCCAGTACCAAAAAACCATAAAGAATATTAGAAAGTCTGGCAGTAGCAAGTGTTGGTTAGGATGGGGCTATGTGGAGCATGAGAGTATAATTTGGTTCAACCACTTTGAGAAGCTATTGGATATTATCTAACATCAGTTATTTATTTATTCATTTATTCACTTATTTATTTATTTATTTTGGGGGTGGGTACCAGGGATTGAACTTAGGGGCACTCAACCACTGAACCACATCCCATTCCTATTTTGTATTTTATTTAGAGGCAGGGTCTCACTGAGTTGTTTAGCTCTTCCCTGTTACTGAGACTGGCTTTGAACTCATGATCCTTTTGTTTCAGCCTCCTGAGCAGCTAGGATTACAGGCTGGTGCCTGGCCAGAATTATTTGTATTGTGTGACCCAGCAGTTTTACTGCGATTCATACACCCTAGAGAATCTAGTATGTATGTGTACCAGGAGATATGTGAAAGATCATAGCAACATTATTTGAAATAGCAAAAAATTTAGAAACAACCCATACAGTGAGAAATAAGCCAAATTATATATAGTCATCCAGTAGAACACCAAGTGCTGTTAGAATGCATGAAATCAGAATGTAGCAGTATTGAACATGAAATAAAATATTGAGCGAAAATACAATCTGCAAAATAATTCATATCATGATTGTATTTATATAAAATAC